AATGAATAAGATACACCGATATCATAACTCAATAACCTATAAAACCTAAATATAAATGTCTTTTACAACTGATACAAACATATATTTATACATAACATACATCAGAGTGCGGATGCGCTGATCAACAACTAGTTACTTTTATTTTAAACATACATGGATATAAACTTTGCATTGTAGATGATGTTATTTTTTTTTTAAATAGAAGTTTATAAGATGCAATAAAATTTAACGTTGACACTCATCTATTATATAAAAGAATGCTTCTCTCCTTCTAAAGCCCTCCACGTTGGATGCCAGCACATAAAGTCCACGTGGACATTCTAAGTTTCGCGTTTCGTTTTATTCCGTTTGGTTGTGGGCTTTCTGCATATCTGGCCCAATAAAACTGAATCTCCCTAACCCTAATACGACTTCATCGAGGAAATAAAGTCGTCTCTCCTCTTCTTGGGACAACTGACTCTTGCGATTCTTCTCATTATCTCAAACCACCTGCGTTAAGCTTCGTGATTAATCGCCTGCATTTGTTCCTCCACTATGTTGACATCAGTGCTTTGTTTTGGCGATTTGTATAAATATGGAGACCATAACAGCTCCTATCACACACCAAGTCATCCATTTGCAAGTCCTGCACCCTCCTATAATCCTTGATGGCAAACTAAAAAGAATCTCGAGAGCAAGTTGTCACGGCTTGGTCATAACTGCCGCTCCATTGATGAGGTTTGAATCACACAAGCTTCTTTTGTTTTAGTTTGTGTGAGTTTATATCTATTGGTGTTTTGCTTGATTTTCTTTTTCTTGGCAAGTTACTTCTGTTTTTTCACATGCTGGTTTGTGGAGTCCTCGAATCTGATTGTCGGTATTGATGTCACCTAAAGCAATGATTGGACAGGTTAGACAAGTTATGATCTTTATGTATACCCAATCTTTAAGGCTACATACAAGTAAATGCTGCTATGATCTGAAAGCTAACTGGTGATTTGGTTTAGGGGCGAGATAATTCGGTTGGCAGAGTCTGCATTACATTGGAAGAGCCTGACCTCAATGAAGATAAATTGATCTCATTTTATGGATTTGGAGATGGTTATAACCTCAAAGCTCTGGTCTTTTATCATTTAACTGCTAAGTTTGTTTTGTGGTCACAGAGTTAAGGTTAATTTCTTTGGTTTTGGCTTTGCAGCTACAACACATGATCAGGATGTCTTTAGTTTCTGTTCCAGTGATNTTGGAAGAGCCTGACCTCAATGAAGATAAATTGATCTCATTTTATGGATTTGGAGATGGTTATAACCTCAAAGCTCTGGTCTTTTATCATTTAACTGCTAAGTTTGTTTTGTGGTCACAGAGTTAAGGTTAATTTCTTTGGTTTTGGCTTTGCAGCTACAACACATGATCAGGATGTCTTTAGTTTCTGTTCCAGTGATATATTTTGTAGCGGTTTGAAGAAGTTCTTATGTGTTACAGAGATATTGTTCCTCAGCTACACCTGCAGTTTGACTGAGATTAAGAAACCATTTTCTTCTGTCTGTGTTCATACACTAGCTCTACATCTGTCTGTGTTCTTACAGGTCCGACATCTTTTGCACCCATCGTCGAAAGGGCCATGACGATTGCGAGAAAGAAAGTGAAGGCCAGTACCATGTTTTTCTCTGATGGATTGAAAAAAAAAAGCTGTGGTAGAAATAGAACTTGAGTTAGGTTATAAACATTCCTATAATATGACTGCCACATATGCTGATACAGAGCATGTGAGAGTCAGTCTACAAGAGTAACATACCATTGAAATCAATTGAAAAGTAAAATTATATTCTAACAATGTAAACCCTTGCTACAAACGACATTTGCTATTATTAGAGACAGTATAGTACGTTGCTTTTCTTTCTTACCTCACATGAATGCAAACAATGTATATGTGGTTTTTAGTTCTTGGGGTTTAGTCAATCAGGAAGCTAGACTTCCGAGAAACTGTTGGCTGAGAGGATATTTTTGGTTGACTACTTTTGTGTCCGTTGTGTCAGTGTGATTGTATTGCATTATTCATCTCCCTTATATGTTTTTGCTGTTGTTTTCAAGTCAAATTGGGTATTATTGTGGACTGTTGTTTTCAAGGCAAATTGGGTATTATTGTGGGCAAACTAATAGAAAATAGCCAACTATCCAGATTGGGATCCATATTATTGTTTCTTTCACTACGAATATGTTACTGACAGAGCTCCATAGTATGAATTTTGTAGTTCCTTCCTCGCTTAGTTTTTTTTTTAAATCGATTTTGAAAATATCAGCACTATGAATATCTCCTTAATTTAGTCTTTAGAAAAGGATTACAAATGATTATGTTTGTAATCTTAAAACCTATGTATTTGTTGCCTTGAATAATTTCATCCATGGAAGTGCAGGTGAATTGTAGATTTGTTTCATTGTTGCTAACATATACCGTAAGTGAATCTCCCTGACAAACTAAAGCTATAAAAAGTTAGAAAACATTACCCGTAAACAATAACGCTTAATTAGTATTCCATTCCAGATATCATTATTATCTGAAACAGATATATTCTAAAACATTATTTGCCTGAATTAGAGAATATTAATTCTTATATAGAAAATTATTAAACTATTTAATTATTTTACCAAATTGATTTTTTTTTTTAAAATGGATCTTCTTGAAATAGATATGGGAAATTGCCCACATTTCCCTTTGGTTGTAAAGAAATAAATAATCACTTATAACCCTAAATTTAACTAATTTAGCTTTAAGGTTTAGACTTTGGAGGATAAAGTTTAGAATTTTAATAATATTAAAATAATACTTAACATTAAAATCTAAAGATAGTTTCAAAAAATCTTTTCGAATTTAAAAAAGAATTTATGAAAAAAAATTGGAAAAAGAATTCAATAGAATTTGAAAAGTTATACGAAAACATAAAAAATATTATTTTTAATTATTATATTTATAAATCAATTGTATAAATATATTTTGATTTTTTTAATAAAGTTTCATACTTAAGTATTTTTTAAAATGTCCATTCTGATAAAGTAAACATGAATAATGCTACCAAATGAAAGATAAAAGTGAAATTTCCCCAATAAATATAGTAATATTTATTTTAAATTTATATTTATTTAAAATTATGTCAAATTGAAATATAAATAATATGAATATATATATATATTACACTTTTTGAATTATTTTTGCTTATTTTGTTTTCTCTAAAATATAGAAAATAATGAAGGTAACTATCTTTTTAATTCAAACCAGAAATATTTATTAAAAATAACAGTATGATATCATAAATCTTTTTGTTATTTGTTTGTTTATACTATTACTTTCAGTTTATAATGATTTTAAATATTTTACAAAATCAATATAAAATTTCATATAATTAGTTTTGATTATAACTTCCNTTTCTCTAAAATATAGAAAATAATGAAGGTAACTATCTTTTTAATTCAAACCAGAAATATTTATTAAAAATAACAGTATGATATCATAAATCTTTTTGTTATTTGTTTGTTTATACTATTACTTTCAGTTTATAATGATTTTAAATATTTTACAAAATCAATATAAAATTTCATATAATTAGTTTTGATTATAACTTCCTGCCCGTAGGGCGGGCCGGGCCTAGTGTTATATAAATTAACGTTGACACCAGCAAGCAAAAGAAACCAAACCAGTTAAACTTTCAACAAAATCTTAAGAAATTAATGCAAGCAACCTATAGTTAGTGGGTGTGGTAATTGATGGCGTGGAAATCACTGTTGTGGGTGGGCCATGGCTAAATCGATTCTCATCTTAAAGGTATTTTAAATCAAGTGGATGATTTATCAGTAGTTTATTTGCTATGATCTAAATTTTACATTTGGTGTGATTTTCCTTTTCGAAAAAAATATAACTTTCATAATTGGTAAATTAAAAACACATTTTTAAACAAAATTAAGTTTTTCATATTATCCATTTAATGGAATAAAACGTATATCTATATTACTACGTACTATATATTTTCTTTACCATCATATTACTCTCTATATATATACAGATTCTAAATTTGATTAGTTCTGAAAGTAATAAGTTTAAAAAAGTTTAACCATCAGATTATCGGCAATCTTGGTTTAAGACAAACGTTTTCCATTCGTTTTGCCGTTTCACCTCTATACTCTCTCCACCATTCTTCAAACAATAATTTTATTGTGTTTCTTTGATTTTTCTTTTCTCTTCATTTTTCGTTTGATGAACCATAGTTCCTTGTGAAAATCGAGGATTTTAGATGAATTTACATTTATTTTTCTTTTATCAAACCATTATTTGTTTTGTTTTCAGTATTCCGTTCTTTTTTACAGAAGAATCCGCTAAAATAAACCTACAACTCTTTGAGATGCATTCTTATTTGTCTCCAAGAATTATTTTCGAGTCTTGAGAAATATATAAAATCTTACTTTCTTAATTTGTTTATCTATCATAGTATTCAAGTTTGATAGCCGCCAACTTGTTATTTCTGGAAAAGTTAGTTTTCCAAAAAAACCCCAGCATTTTGCGCTTGTAAAATCATTGTGTCTTGCATATATGCAACAAGTTTTCTTTGATCTTTTCTTAAATTTTCATTCTCTTTCCATTACTAGCAAATTTTCTTTTCTTTTCAATTTCTTATTTAAACAAAAGAAAACACCTAAGTTAGAAATCTATGCAACTTACAATGTCAAGCTCCAAGATGAAAAGCCTTTTGAAAGGCCTCCGATACATTTCTCAAGTATTTGGTAACCAAGTTCCTCCTCTCCCTTAAACTATGATTAGTCCATTTGATCCCCTATCGTTATATAAAACTTCGAATCAGTTTTGAAATATTATATATGGTATATAAAAAATATATATATGAAAAATCTACGCGATATACATCACGTAGAAAGTTTGCATGCATTGTGATAATACTTGCGTTGAATAAATAGCCAGCGGGTTGACAAAAAAGGCCAGTTAACACTTTTTTTTTGTTTGGGTTTTGGTTAAAACTATGGTAGAAAGTGGAAAAGAAGAGGAGATAGAGATAGGCAATCCAACGGACGTAAAACATGTTGCCCATATTGGTTGGGATGGTCCATCCGCTACTCCTGCCTCCGCCCCAAGCTGGGTACGTACTTTATGTATAATGCATGCTTAGCTAGTTGGGAGTAATTAATTTATTTGGTTTTACTGTGGTCGATATTTGCACATTTGAAAGATGAACGAGTTCAAAAATGGAGGTGGGTTCGAATCTGGACAAGGAGGCGGAGAAGATGATTCCTCCGCGAAATGTATGTCTGAATGTGGCGGTCGGACCAGAGATTTACCAAAATTACCAAAATCTTCGAGAAAAGCGGCTTCCGAGAAAGGTTCTCCAACAAAGGAAATTTCATCGGACAAAACTAAACGCCGGTCTTCGAGAAAAGGAACAACATCATCGTCAAGAAGAGCAAAGGAAGGGTCCGAACTAAGGGAGCTTTCTTCATTACAGGATGTTCCGAAGAAGTCGAGGAGGAAAAAGAAGACGAAAGAAACTGGAGGATCAACTAGATCGATAAGAAGATCAGACGTGGATAACATGTCGGATTATATGTCTGAGACTGGTTCTGTAAGATCTATGCCTCAATTCGACAGAAGAGATGACTTTTGAAAAGGAGAGATAGAAGAAAACAGTTTTTCGTGCTTGGACATTGCCTAATGCATTTTCACTGAACATATCAGATTTTTAGTCTTCTTTGTTTTTGTACCATTCTTATTATTTACTTTAGTTATAAGAATATTTTTTGTACCATCATTCGTGTCTATCATATCATCTATCAATCTTTGGATATGAGGAACCAGATCCGTACTTAGAAATGAGAGTGGTGAACTGAGATTCAAAAAAACATTGATTGAAAATAAGTTAGAAATCATGATCTTTGTGATAACTGTAATGAGCCAAGGCCCCAACTTGAAGTCAAAAGAGCAGGCCCAAGTCAATACGTTTCAACGGTCATCTTCAGGCTTGTGGACTTGCAGAAACAAAGGTAAAGCATGTACGAAAAAGAAGCTTGACATTATCCAAAACCGATTTGATCTGCTCTTATCTATATGTGCTGCTTAGTCTACTTTACAGCTAGCTAGTGAAGAGGATCTATACTGTTCTAAAGAGTCTCTAAGTACTTGTGTAATGCTATGAGAAAGATTAAGTTGAAAGTTTAATAAAATACAAAAATTCATCTTCTTCTTTGTTTTCACATGGTACGCGTCTCTGGCCTTACCCGGTGTTGTAAGGGTAGATCCTGTGAATCCTTACCCCATTCCAAGCAATGCTCACATTTGAGCTCTGTCACCGTGAAGCTCAATGATGGGAACTACTTGCTTTGGAAAACTCAGTTCGAGTTTTTGTCTAGCCAAAAGCTTCTAAGCTCCATTAATGGAGATATCATGCCACCCATGTCATGATGTTGGTGACATAAAAGTCACAGAAGAAAATCCCCAATTTGAAGCATGGTTCTGCACGGATCAACTGGTGCGTTCGTGGTTGTTTGGTACTCTTTCGGAGGAAGTTTTGGGCTCTGTTCACTCCTTGCTTACTTCCATTGAGGTCTCTCTCTCTCTCTCTAGTTTTCTTGAAGATGTATGGTGCAGACAGAGCTGAAGTAGTTCAAGAACGGAGTTGAAGTAGTTCATGAAGCACGACATGAACTACTAAATGAAATGCGGAGTCTAGAGCTGAGCAAGAAAAAGGAAGAAGCCTTTAATAAAGATGTGAAGATATTTATCAAGGCGTGGGCATTAAGGAAAAAGGAGTGAAGAATAAGCAACCGTTGAAGAAAAGAAGAAGGTTGTCTTATTCGCTGAAACAGAAAAATGGAAAGTTTCCATTGGGTAGTTTTAGGGTTTTTCTCTCTAGGTATAAAGAGAGAGTCGACGGGGTTGTAGTCGATGAACACATTGGGTGATATTCTAGCAAGTTAGAGTTTTGTTAAAACCGAGCAAGGTAGGCAAAATACTTTAAGAGTTAGAAGCAATTCACTGACTGGGGTAAGTCGTGAATTGATTGGACTAGTCAACAAGTCAAGTTGTTCTTGAGCTTTGTTGAGAATTGCTTTTCAAAAGAACTTGTATGTGCTTTTAAAAGGATTTATCTAGTCGTATTTTTCTTGGAAAAGACAACTCTTGAATTACTGTGTGTTCTAGTTTCTGTACTACTAATATTGCGCTTTCAATTGGTATCAGAGCGGGTACTTGTGTTTTCTTAAACAGGTAAGGATCCTGCGGAATGGACAACTTCAAAGAGTTGGTAGCGCACTCCAAGGTGATCTTGGAAGTAGGAAACTATGGGTTCTGGAAAGCCAGAATGAAGGCGACGATCAAGGGTATTGATCCACTTGCATGGAAGGCAGTTGAGTCTGGATGGAAGCATCCTGTTGCGAGAGGTGAAGATGGTAAAGATGTACCAAAACCCGAAGAACTGTGGACTGAAGATGAGAACAAGTTTGCCAAGTTCAATGCAAGAGCACTCACGGCCATCCACTGCAGTGTTGCGAGGAAGCAGTTTGAGTTGATTCAGGGATGTGAGTCAGCAAAAGAAGCATGGGATATTCTTCAGAGGCACTTTGAGGGAACTACGAAAGTGTTAAGCTCAAGAAGAGACATGTTGGATACTCGTTTTGAAGATCTGAAGATGGACGAGAATGAATCAATTGCTGATTTCAGTTCCAAGCTAAGCTCATTGTCACAAGAAGCACTCACTCTTGGGAAAAAATACAAAGAAAAGAAACTGGTGAAGAAGTTCCTGAGGTGCCTTCCCGAAAGGTTCAGAGGTCACAAATCAGCCATGGAGGTAGCTCTCAACACTGATGACATAAGCTTTGACGAGGTAGTGGGTATGATGCAAGCTCATGAGATGGAGTTAGACAGTGGAAAGAAGGTCAAGGGAATTGCACTAGCATCTGTTGAAAAGGATGAAGGAGGTGATGATCCATTAAGCTTACTTGTGAGAAGATTTGATAGAGCGCTCAGAAAAGTAGAGCAAGGACAATCCTACAAGAAGTTCGGTTCAAAACCCAAATCTGCTGAAGCTGAGAAGAGTGTCAAGAAGTCAGACGTAAAGTGTTATGAGTGTAAGGGATATGGCCATGTGCGAACTGATTACCCCACAGTAAAAAGAAGAGAGTTTCAATGCTTTGGATGCAAATGATTTGGTCATACTCAAGCTGAATGCGAGACGGACAGCAAGAAGAAGAAAGAGAAATCGCTAATTGGGATCGATGACAGCGACTCCGACAGCGATAGTGAAGAAGAGCTGAACAACTTTGTGGCATTTTTGGGCATCACAGAATTCGTGTCTGACTCAGAAAGTGAAAGTGAATCAGAGAAAGAACTAACTGAAAGCTATCGAGAAATTCGCGAGACAGTATTAAGACTTGGAGCTGAGAATCAAGCACTTGCGAAAGCTAAGGAAAGTCTTGAGGCAGAATTGGAAAAGGTTCGTCTGGAACTCCAACAGGAAACTGAGCTAGCCAAAGAGAGTGTGAATCTAATGAAAGAAAAGCTAATTCTGGCCAAACAAGCTGAAGATCTCAGACATGAAGTGATGGCTGAAAAGAAAATCACCATGGAACTACAATCGGAGTTAGATCAGCAATACAAGAAGATCAAGATGCTAACAGGTACTAAGCAGCTAGACAAGATCTTGTCTCAAGGCAGAACAGAGAATTCTCACATGGGACTTGGGTACACTGGAAGATCGAGTAATCCCACAGGCATAACTAGTTTTGTGTCTGGAGGGTTTGTTCACACCAAGGAAACTGAGACAGGAAGTACACCAAGACAAACAGCTGGATGCCATTTTTGTGGGAAGATGGGTCATTACAAAAGGTTTTGTCAGAGATATCTCGGGAAGATCAGACAATTGTGGAATCAACGCAAGTTCTGGAGAGTTGGGAACACAAGTCTAGCATGGATGAGGAAGTCAGACCTGTATTCTTCAATTAATACAGGATCAGGCTCAAGATGTAGCATGGCCTTGGTTACGGAGGATGATGATGCAGAAGAACCATGGTACTTTGATAGTGGTTGCTCAAGGCACATGACAGGTAACGCTGAGTACCTAGATAACTTAAAAAAGGTGAAAGGTGGAAAGGTCACGTTTGGTGATGGAGGACAAGGATCAATCAAGGGGAAAGGTGCTACAAACGACATTGAATTACCCAAGCTGGTGAACGTATACTTTGTCAAAGGTCTGAAGGCGAATTCGATCAGCGTAAGTCAACTATGTGATGAAGGCCTTTCAGTGCTATTCACAGCTACAGAATGCCGAGCCATCAGCAAGCATGGGGTAACAGTCATACAAGGGATAAAAGCTGGCAACAACTGCTACATGTGGGAAAAGAAGACTAAGTGTATGAATGCCTTCTCTGCTCAATCCTCACAAGACAATGTTAAACTCTGGCATCAACGTCTAGGCCACATGAATCTGCGTAACATGGCAACTCTAGTCAACAAGAATATGATTCGTGGAGTACCTCAGCTTCAGATAAAAGAGAAGATCGTGTGTGGAGCTTGTAATCAAGAGAAACAAGTAAAGGTACAACACAAGAAAGTTACAGATGTACAAACCTTGGCCCCCTTGGATCTAGTTCACATGGATCTAATGGGACCAATGCAAACCGACAGTATTGGAGGGAAGAAGTATGTGTTTGTACTAGTTGATGACTTCACACGATTCACATGGGTCAGATTCATCAGAGAGAAGTCAGAAACGGTGGAAAGCTTCAAAATTTGGGCACTACAGTTGATCAATGAGAAAGGAGGAATCAAGAAGATACGTAGCGATCATGGAGGAGAGTTTCAAAACGAATCAATGACGCAATTTTGTGAGACAAAAGGAATAGCTCATCAGTTCTCAGCTCCCAGGACACCACAACAAAACGGTGTAGTAGAGCGAAAGAATAGGACATTGCAAGAGATGGGCAGGGCGATGATACATGGTAACAAGATACCTCAAAGGTTCTGGGCTGAGGCACTGAGTACTGCATGTTACATCATCAATAGGGTGTATGTGAGAAAAGGGACCACGAAGACTCCATATGAAATGTGGACTGGTAAAACACCTAACCTTGGTTATTTTCATGTCTTTGGTTGCAGGTGCTATATCTTGAATGACAAGGACTACCTTGGAAAGTTTGATTCAAGAAGCGATGAGGGCATCTTCCTTGGGTATTCAGGAACTAGTACAGCATATCGAGTGTTCAACAAGCGATCTGCCATGGTTATGGAGTCAGTGAATGTTGTATTTGATGACTTGTCGGTGATCAGATGGGATGACAATGAATCTGATGAAGAAACAGAAACATCAGAGACCAGAACGAAAGAGGTAGTACCCGAGATCACTGAATCAGAAGGTGCTGCACCAACTGAAGTACTTCAGCAAGTACATCGTAATCATTCTGCTGACGATGTGATTGGAGGGTTAGATGAGGGACGAAAGACTCGCGGCAAGGTGATAAACTTTCGAGAAATGGTCCAGTTTGCTTGCTTTGTATCTTCCATTGAACCAAAGACACACAATGAGGCACTACGTGACGAGTACTGGATTGTGGCAATGGAGGAGGAACTGGAGCAGTTTGTAAGGAATGATGTGTGGGAACTTGTCACCAGACC